TGAATTGTAATTTTTTTTTTTACGTATAATAAAAAAAGAATAAATTAAATTAAACGAAGATCAAATTTCACAAATTTGATTGGTTGATATCACATGTATATCTTAATTTGATTAACCAATCATAAGAAAGTTATCCTATAACATTATCTCTATTTTTCATTATGTAAATCGACTTTCATTTATAATTGAAATTGTCAATTATGCCAAAATTTACACGAATCAAATAAAAACCGAATTTTCAAAATTTTGTAAAAATAGGCCCTTTTAATTGAACACACTCCAAAAAGGAGCAAAGTTTGGCCTTCGTATACTTTGTGGGTCAGTTGATTGAAGAATTGCCTTCATCCTCAGTAAAACGAACTCTATGCAAGAATATATTATCCTCACATTACTGTATAGCAGCAACAAGAGCATATTATATCTTTAAAAAGTGAGGAATGGATCAAATTACTAAAACATTATTGAATTTGGAAATGCTTGTAAGGTTGAAATTCAGTGATTATCAAATCTTGATTGACTAACTTGTGAAACTCCCTTGCTAATACACCCTTGACGTCCTTTAGGTCATGGGTAATTGTAAGTCATGAGAGTGCTGCGCCAAAAATGCCAGATCTGCCATTTCTGCCATATCAGCCACTTCTTGTATAAGAGTAACTCTTAAGCAGCTTATCTACAATGAAAGATATTAATTTGGATAAAATAAAAAAGGTTGATTATCGAAAGGCATAGTAGCATCAAAATATTGAGGTGCAATATTGAGGAATGTTCTGGTATTGTAAAATTATTTTTTTATATGGTGCACAAGGTGGATATGAGAGAAATGGCATAAGAAACAGAAATGTGGTAAATGGATTAGTAGCATAAATGATTGATCGAACATTTATAGCATAAATGTTATATATTTTAATAGTAGTTATTTTAGTATATATATGGGCGAGTTTCGCTCCAATTTGTAGGCATGCTTGCCAAGGCATTTTTATAATTAATACATATTACTCAATAAAGGACACTCTTTATTATTTGATTCTAAAAACTATCTATCACGTACTCTTTCATTTTCCAAATCACTATCTATAAATCCTCTCGTTTAGTAAGAATACTTACAACTATAATAAATCACAGTACGGTTCTTGTGTCTCCGTACCCACGTGACTCCCCGTTATTAGTTGAACCGTTAACCTCGATTCCGGGAGGTATACGCAGGTTAACACCGTAAATCACTATTTAATATCTTTACCAACAATTAACCTGAGCAAGTGCTAGCCATTCACGTTGATTGTATGTATGTACAGTACAAAAAAAATTACTGGCTTAAAAAAAAAAAACTTCGTTTTATTTTCAAATGATTTTTTTTATAACAAAGTTGTTGAATTATACGAATTTTAAGTTGTAATACAAAAATGATGTCTTATATTCTCTTATTTTCAAGCATCGCTTTTAAACATATTTTATTATAGAATATTTGATATCTAAAACCGTATTATATCTATCTATTTAGCAAGTTCTACACAAGAATAAAGTAAACTAAGTACTTTTATTAAAAGAAGTAATTTAAACCTAAATATGATAATCTAATAGCTTGAGAATCTATTTTCAAAACTAACTTTACCTAAAACACTTAATAGTTCTTTTACTGCTACAATTATATACAAGCGAAAGCTTTGAAAATCGCAATGCCGTAAAGCTAAAAATAAAGGGTTGTAATACGTACATACCTGAGTACGTGCAGGCGAATCGTCCCAATGATGCCATAACTTTTGCCGTAACTTGTCGTAACTATCTTTGTAATATGTAATTATTATAATGAGTTACGACATTTTTGCCGTAACTTTATTACGTTACAACAAGCTACGGCAATTCTCTAAAGTAGATACAAACCCGATATAGTAATTCTGCTAGCTAAAGTTATACGTAAAAGTCACTGGAATCACTGGAAGCAACTGTAAAATTTCTCACTGGAAGGGTCCAGTGACAACTTACCACTGGAAGGCATATTTTACTAATTCCTTCCAGTTAGTTCCAGCACTCGACTCATTATGCAGTTAAGTTAAATTAGACCAGCCGCCGGTAGACAAACTCAGAACGGGGGGTTTTTTTAAGTAATAAAGAAAAAGAAAACTTAACGTCTTTAAGGTAGATTCAACGATATTATTTGTTGTCTCTACATTTTGTCTGAAGAAGTTCAGTTTTCAGTCTATTCGCTTCAACCTGAACTTCTTTTTGGCGTTTCTTATCACCCTTTGCTACTGTCTTTTTTTAGCTTGGTAATTTGTACCTTGAGATCTTTAAATTCTTTTTAAGATGTACAGACAGCTCCTCAGCGGTTTTTGTAATTGCCTCGGGTTTTTCCATAATTGCACACAACACTTTAAAAATATATCCAAAATAGGGCTTAAGGCGAAGTAGTGTTGCACAATTAATGTGTTAGCTAAAATTTGCTTATGTTAATCAAAATTCGCGCTTAATTGGTCAATAGCCTTTATCGAGTCTTTATCGCCCAAAATAGAAATCTCGGAAATTTTAAATACGCATGTAAAAATCAAATACGGTTAAACTCGATCGATCAAATACGGAAAATTTATGCAATTATATGAATTTTCAAGTTTTCTAATTTTCAAATATACGTAGTAATGAAACTTTTTTTTGTTATTATACAAAAAGATCAAAAATAGACAAAAAGGAAAAAAAAGCAAAGCCTAATAATTACACTTGACAATACAAATAGTGAAAGAGCCAACGTGTAACACATGAAACTTATAAAATAAATCTAATTACTTCTCGAATAGAAAGTCTAACTTTTGCATAGCATCAATAGTTCATAACAACCATATTGATCATATATCACCGGGATAAATAACAGTTTCCAGATCCTTCACCACAATAGGATCTATATATGGGGTTAATAATGCGAACAATAATTGTTCAGTGTATATAAGAAAACATTCTTCATTCCCTTTTGCCAATATTTTAAGCATTTCCATAGTTCTTCTGGCTAGCATAATACAATCATCATCATTATTTCCAATACGATTATCCCGTACACTTGCCAATGTTATCGACATTTTAAGCATTCTATTTATAAATCCTGGAATGGAAACCATTTTTTTCCTCATTACTTCCCCACTCAAACATGCAAAATTAAAGAATGACATTACCAACATTGCCAAATATGGCAACTCTTGCATCGATGGACGCGTGATCACACCACCACCAATAGCGTAGCCAATACTGTTCTCACCCTGTGGCAACATTCGTACCAATCGTTCTAAGACTGTTGTTAATGTAGATTCATCACAACCACCAATCCGTTGTCGATTCTCGTATGAAACAGAAATCTTTGCAAAAACTTCCAACGCAACTTGAGCGTAATAATCATCGGTATTTTCTAAAAAATCGGCAATTACAACTAAAAGATCTCTTGCAACATAAATTGATGGTAAAGTAAGATATGCCGCAATATTTGATAATATGATTATAATGCTCTTTCGTAATTCTAGAATATCATAAGCTTTCTTACGAATTATTCTACGATTATCTTTAATATTTCTGCCCGCTTTTACTTTTTCATTGATACCAAGAAGGAAATCATCATCCTCACCTATGTACAGGACACGCATAAGCACGGTTAATAACTTAGGGTGGGTTGCTAGGCATTCCTGATTCTCGAACATGAATGAAAAATTCCTTATCAAATTAGTTATACACCAACATTGCTCGTGTAATGACAACCATTCATTTACTATATTTGAATTATCCGTTGCAACGTCCGCAAATTCATCACATTCTTGTCTAGATAGTTGATATAACTTCTGATACGTTATAAATTTTCGCGGTGATATCAAACTTTCTTCCGTAGTTTCCTCGTTACACGATGGAGATACAGAATCTATATATTCTAATATCATATCTAGCAGAATATCCACTAAGTCCCCACACTGTTTAAGATCTATTATTAAATTTTTATAGCACGAGAGCGTTGTTAACGCGTTTAGAGCACTTGTGACTTCAAGTTTCATACCGCACTTCAAAGACATCGTAAGTGCATGTACATCTACCGCACCTAATATAATGAAAAGAACAGATGTCAACTTATTTCTATACTCTTATAAATAACACGTTTATATTTACCTAAATCTTGGATTCCAGGTATGTTTAAAGGTAATGAAAACTTCTCAAAAACTCTCAAATCTAGACCACCATAGCTCTCAACACGTCGAGTTTTCGGTGCATAATTTACTTTCTGAGGCTTAACAGGTTCTTGTTTTGACGTTTGTGTTGGCAAAGTTGAATTAGAAGATTGTGTTGATGTCGTAGGTGTAGGATGAGTGACTACAGGTGTTTTTTCAGATTGTCGTGGTATTTGACGGGAAGTAACAGCCCTGCGTCCAGCTATTCCACTACTGACCGGTAACCGCAAATTTTGTGACATATCATCGGCCACATTTGGACTTGATGTGTGCTGTTTATTATTATTTGTCGATTGAGTAAGTAATTCGGTGTTAGATGTTTGGGAGTTTTGATGGTGTTTAGAAAAGTTCGTAGATTCTGAAAGATTATTAATATTTTTGGGACTAGCCGATGAGCTATTTCTTGATTCAACAGCCATTTGTATATTTGATGTATATGAATTCTGGTTTTCTATAGTGGGCAATATTGAAGAATCATTCGTATTTTCTTGTGATGTTATTCGTTGCATAGAATCTAAATGACCAATTAGAGAATTAGGTTTAATCGATGTCAATGATGTAGCATCATTTGCTGTTTGTGGTGACTGTTTATAAGGATCAAGTACAGTATTATGAATGCTAGCTGTCGACGACAATTCTGTTGATATAGTAGGCTGTGTCGATGACTGAGGAAAACCTGTAATTGTAGTATTTGAAACTAAATGGTCTTTAGAATTAATTTTAGAAAATTGTCCGATCTGCGCTGTAGCCTGCGTTTGATTTAGATTGGTAGAGTTAACAGTTTGACTCTGATTACCATATATAGAGGATTGAGTATTTGAATCGGGTATAGCAGGGTTAGGGGAACGTGGTAGCATTCTCATTGTATTGTGCTGAACACTTTTGGGTGACAAATTTTGAGTAATGCTGCTAGATTGCACCGAAAGAGAAGGATGGGTAGAAAAACTGTATCCGGCGTCCTCTCGATGGGATGGCTGTTGCTGATGTTGATGCGTTTGTGATGATATCTGTATCGTTTGTGATTGCTGATGTTGTGGCGTCTGTTGTCGTTGTTGTGGTCGTTCAGTCATCTGTTGTTGCTGTACTTGATTATCATGCTGTTGCTGCTGTGGAGATCTCTGAAGGCTACTTTGATTAATTGACGAATATGATTTTGACGAATTTTGTGATGAATAATTCAAATTGTTTTGCAGAGGATTAGAATTCCATCCATGTATATTTCCACCAATACCACTAGAAGAGTTAGAGAATTCCGTTGGATAACTAAAATCATAAACGATATCTTCATCATCAAATTCTAACCAATTCGTTTGGCCGTCATCTTGCATGAAGGGATTTGATATTGCTTGATTTTGTTGTTGAGGATGAGTAGTCTGCGTTTGGTTCAGTAAGTTATTGAAATTATTTCCCATTGCATTGGCCTTAGTTGGCGTTTGTTGCTGAAATTGTCCATAATGTTTATCTATACTTTGTATCGATGCTGCATACGCATTTGTATGCATTGATGTTGAAGATTTTCCATCCATATTTTGATTATCAGTGTTTACAAATGACTGGGCAGGAACTGTTGGCCTTCCTGGACTTATCATTTGTTGATTAGGAAATCCTCCACCAGCTGTGTAGAGCTGATTCTGGCCGGGGGTTTGTGCAATATTTGAAAATATGCTTTGCATTGGCGGTGTTGGTGCAAGAGCCACTCGTTTTGCAGCAGGCATACCATTAGTTGTCATGGATGTCAAAGAGGCAACAGGTACGGGGTATACCGGGCGACCAGAAATGGGCATCATGGGATTGATGCCAGTATTTGATTGTATGTATCCTGCATTGTTTGTTATATTTGTCATGTACTGTTGAGGATACGTACCAGCACCCATCACATTAGCTAATCCTGCTTGAGGGTTTCCAGTAAATGGATAAGGAACACGGTTCTGTTGTTGGCGTTGTTGTTGGTATAAGCTTGGATCCATTGATCAAATGATATTTGCTCTGGCGACAATAATTGATAGTTTTCCCCTGTATCAAGTATCAAATACGTAATTTCTGTAGTACGATGTCTATTCTGGTAACAATTTGTAATACGATTTAGCGTTACTTGCATATCATGTGACTAACTGTCTCGAACTGCTAAAAAATTTTGACGTTTTAAAATGCAATTATGTAATTAATTTTTTCCAAATTTTTATACACGCAAAATTAACAGTCGACTCTAAGTTAGCTTCGCTAGAACTTTATAATTTTTATAAACATTAATTTAGCTTAGCCAATTTTAATATATAAAATAACCAAATTTAGTATATACAGTAAAGTGGCCAAATTTTAGTGTATAAAAGCGGCCAAACTTACTTGTTTATACAGTATAATATATTTTAAGTGGCCAATTTGATATTTTTTACTAAATATAATAAAAAATTTAGCTTAAAATAGTTTTAATTTTAATTAGTTTATTTAGTTTATATAAAAATTATATATTATATCTACTATATTTGATATAGTGTTTAATATTACAATAATTTTTGGTTATAAGCTGTATATAGTATAATATATAAATCAAACTAATTTTTATCAAAAATAAAGTTAAAACCAAAGTTTAAATAAGACTAAGGCTTAGTTTATATCAAAATTTTGCAAAAAATTTTATTGTTAAAAAGTAGTTTTATAAATAAATTTTAAGTTATACTTTTTTTTTTAATACTTATATTACAATTTTAATGCTTTATTGATAATTATATAGTATAATATTTTGAAGAAAAAAATTATTACATTGTAGCATAGCTACTTGGTACTAAATATTCAAGCACCTATATGCGATTTGCTAAAGATGATTTTAGTCTTACCAGTTTGGTTTAATCTACCAGGACTCCAAAGATCTCTGATATAACTTAGATCTAAATTTGTATAAAGTTTGTATAATTTCAGCCAAATAGATGTATAAAATAAAGCAAAAATCAAAATTTTACTATATAAAAATGCAATATATAATGAATTTTTATACAAAATTTCTTTTTTTTAATAATATATGAGTTGTATCAGAGTTTTTCAAAGTCTTGCTCTATTTCAGATTACTAATATAAATTACCAACCTATTATAATCATCTTCTTTCTCATTCTCAATTTTCTTCTTCTAGTCTTTTAAGTAAAAAAATTTTACTAATAAACAACAAAAAAATTAATAAAATAAAAGAAAAAGTAAAAAAAAAATAAATAAACTAAATTAAACAAAAGTAAGAAAAATAAACAAACCAAAAAAAGATAAAAAAAAAAAGATAGCAAAAAAAGACACACTATTTTTGTCTATACTAGGCTTTAAAATACTATATAGACTAAATCTAATTTAATACTATATATAGTAAAAAGAATGGAAAACTATAGTATCTATAATATTAAAATTTTATTATATGCTCCTTCTGACTATCTTTTATAGCAGTCCTCATTTGTTTAACTAATTATACAAGATTTTATTTTTTGACTTTACTAAAATGCACCACTAGTATCAACACCAGTATCGGAAAAGTATGTGATAATAATAATAAACACATAATCAGAAGATCACGTGATAGCAACAAATAAACATAATTGGAAGATCACGTGACAATAATTTAATTTGTATAATATAAACCGATATAGATTAACAGATTTTATATAACCTAATACATACGTACGAATCTAAACTTCAGCAAGAAATTTTAATTGCGATCCTTATTATACTTATATTTAATAATCAGAGACTAAAATTTAACTGCACCGATAGATTAACCGAATTTATCTAGTGAATACAATATGTTACCAGTAATAAAATATCAACCAATTCACTAAAAGATGTTACAATGTGTATTGATAATTGCACTAACAAATAGTATCGTCATCAAAATGTAGCTTAGTGAGATTGAGAAATTTGTTAAAAAATTAAAAGACGTTTAATTGTAACATGTTACTTGTAACAACCTACTTAGTATAGCCGATAAAAATTAATAAATTTAATTGATAATACCCTATGTTACAATTAGATATCTCTTAATTTTTTTCCAGATGATTAATCTCACTAAGCTACGTTTTAAAAAAAAGAGACAGATTAAATACCTATTAGAATCAGTTTTAACATATCTTTGTATGTTTTCCATGTCATAATTTAAAACCAATTCAATTTGCTTACTCTCTGCATCCTTTATGAATTGCTCAATTACTTTTTTAAATAAATTTAATTGCGATGCCCCATTTATCATTGTTTATTTTGGCTATCCAAAGTGGTTGTATATGAGTATATCTATAAGGTATACTGTTATTTTAATGGATCCTGTAATCTATAATTACAGGATTTACAAAAAACGATTAATTGAAAAAAAGAGGCAATAATAACGATTGACGCACAGCTAAGCAATAGTTATATTCTGGGTATTTGGCTATAAGTAAAATTTTTATTTTCACTTATATATATAGTACCTAGAGCAGTGTTGTCACTCGGACCAGACATGGACGCGGTCATGGACCGGACCGGACATCCGTGTCCGTGTCCAAAGGATCTTGCAGACGTGGACATTTTCGGGTAATGTTGGCACATGGGCCGGACGTGGACACGGACCGGACTGTCCGCGTCCCACGTCCAAGAACATAGGCATCGGACTCGTATGCATGTCATACTGTACGACATCAAATATTGGTAACGGGTAGCGTTATTATACCGCTAGTTTAGCATTAGTATTATTCGTGCAGTTTTAGATCTTTAACTTGTGCAGATTACTAATCTTGTGCTATCTACTTCTAAAGAACCGAAAGAACCATTATTCA